CGAATTCACAGCAGATTTCAACATTTAGCTTTGGCCTGGCCTATAGGGAAACTAATCAAAAAAAAAGATTAAGCAAACCTGAAGCCAACTAGTTTGCAAATGTTCAGGCCATGAGTTTGGCGGAGTAGTCTGAGAGGTTGATGCGCTTTCCGGAGCGAATACCATAATTACCATTTCATTTTCAGCTTTCTAAAAGAGCTCACTTACACTTTTACATCTTGAGCACTCATATGGGATTACGTAAAATTAAAAAAATGTTGTTTTTTTGTACTGATATCAAGAAACATGATCTCGAAATCGAACGCGAAAGAGTTGAACTAATGCAAATTTCACAGCATCGTCAATGCTAACAAACTACCAAACGCGAAGGACAATGCTCACTTTTTAAATACCCCTGTGCTAAAGAAAATGGTGTATGGATACCAATCTTTGCTACTGAAAAAAAGTTAAATTGCAACTGTTGAATGTGATGAGGCAAAAAAATGAGGCAAAGGATTACTGAGGAGTCCTTTTATGACAGACATAAAAACATTCTGTGTTCTTTTTTGTCTGTGTAAGATGTCTGGCATGAGAAATACCCTGTGACCATGCGAGAAAGTAAAGTCCGTGGACTGGCATGTCCTTTACCAAACTAGCAAAACGATGGATGAGCATATCAAGTGGGTGGTATTCGCAAGTAAATAAAGGATCCCTTCGTAGCTGCTGAAGAAATAACTCCATATGCATTTGAACAGGAGATAGGTACTAATTAGAAGCATACAAGCTAGAATCGAAGGACCTGGCATGGTTGCGACCGACGTGTGGAGGCATTCCACTAATATAACTTACATGGACCCCCACACCAACTGTTCAGGCGATCTTCTTAAAAGTATTCCATACGAAAAACCATGCATACTAGAGAATTAAGATATAGAATAATAATAAAATTCGTCAAAGAATCATCCTCACAATTCTGAATGGAAGAAAGAGTTTCCTCGTGAGAATTTTGCCAAGCAACTGTAATATATCAGTGGTTGCTTTTTTTACGGATTTCCTCAAAAACGACAATCTTTCGAGCTAATAATTTTTTTTTTTCAGAACAAATGTCAGGACCGCCAGCATTAGACTGACTATCAGGCGAAGCAGCATTGGTCAAAGCAACTGGAGAAATAGTAGAATGGAAGGATTGGTCTTGAGTGTCATGTGCCGAAGGACATTTTATTAGTTCATTGTGAACCCGGAGAATCCGGAAATGCTATGAAATACAACTGATCAAAAGCGCAAATATGCAAATATATCATAGGCAAACTGAAAGCAACTAAAACATACCACAAGAAAATCAATGAAAAAGTTTTTTTACCCGAAATAATTGATGTATTGGTGCTCGGCCGTTGCGGAAATTTTTCAGATGCAAGCGTATCTGCGATGGTATTTTGTTAGCCAGAAGATGCCGGCTGATCAGCGCATATGGACCTCCATTCGAGGCAGTATGCTTAACA